AAAGGAAAAAGTCATTAGCAAAGATTCCATGCCATAAGGTCTCTGTTATGAGCAAGAAACAGAAAGGCTGATTTAGTTAAAGCCATTGTGTTCAAAGATATGTGAAGTAAGAGTGATCCTTCCAAATAAATTCAGATAGAACCCCAACATATAAGATAATCGGTATATAAGATAACATATAACATATATCACATTCTTTCATTTGAAGAACACTGTCCTGTTGTAAATGGAAACCAATAGGAACAACAAATCTGATCATGGCTGCAGCCACTGGTTGACATCCAGTGGCTTATTATTACTGTCTTTGTATTTGGCTATACAATATCAAGAACATTTTGATCACACTACAGCTTGCCCTCGACTCTCAGTGCATGCTTTAACTAAAGAATCTGAGAAACTTGAAGCAAGGAGCAGGAAACATTTCCTTCAGTAGCTGACAGCTACAATATCAGTACCTCGTGCTGCCATGTAGAAATGTCAAGTAAGAAGCAATCAAATTGAAATAAAGCCTCTGAAACTATAGTGCACAGTCATGTTTTTAACTTTTTATTGTTTGTGAATTTCACATCATGCACCACAATCCCACCCATCTCCCTGTCTCTCCATATCCACCCTCTGCCCTTGCATTCCCCCCACCCCCCACCCCCCGCCAAAGAAAACAAAAGAATAAAAGAAAAAGATTTTTTAAAAAAAAAAAAAATCTCATGGTGGAAACTGCAGTGTGTCACCTTGTGTCACACGGTTTTCCTTGCCAATGTTCACTGTAATGAGTCATTGGTCTGGTTTGAGGCCTCTGGCTTCCGATGCTATCAATACTGGATCTTGCCCTTGCCAGGACTCCTCTGGGATATCCTGTTGTTGCCCTGTGCCATGGAGATCCTGTAGCCTTGGATCTGCAGGACCAGCCCCTTCATGGCACTCCAGCAGTTCATGGATGAGGTAGATATTGGGGTCCACCAACTCAAAGCCCTGGATCTGGGCCTTGGTTGTATAGGATGAGGAAGTGAGGTAGCTGGGCTAAGAGAGGGCAGAACAGCAAGGCAATGAAGTCATGGATAGACAGGAAGTAACATGGATAGATAGGAAGTAACTTGCATTTTGGAAGCTGCAGAGTTGGTGAGGTAAGGTTGGCTGGTGGCTTTCCCTATTTCCCTGATCTAAGGCTTTCAACCCTATATTTGGTTCCATTTTTTTTATTTGATAAGATCATTTTAGAGATTCGTCTACACTGGGTGGTAGCTGAGTTGGTCAGCCTGCCTGATCGCCTGCACCAGTGCCACCAAGGTCAGCTTTTCTGTTTTTGCAGAGGTGAGGTGTGGGGCCAGCTCTCCTGCCTGGGGCAGCTGGCAAGGGGTGAGACAGGCTCTACCAGAGCGGGGTGCTACAGCCAGCAGGGCCAGCTCTCCCACACCGCCCAGGAGCGGGACAGGGCCAGCTCTCCCACACTGCCCAGGAGCAGGAGCGGGGCAGGACCAGCTCTCCCACACTGCCCAGGAGAGGGGTAGGGCCAGCTCTCCCACACTGGCCAGGAGAGGGGAAGGACCAGCTCTCCCACACTGTCCGGGAGAGGGGCAGGGCCAGCTCTCCCACACTGCCCGGGAGAGGGGCAGGACCAGCTCTCCCACACTGCCCGGGAGAGGGGCAGGGCCAGCTCTCCCACACTGCCCAGGAGAGGGGCAGGACCAGTTCTCCCACACTGCCCAGGAGCAGGAGCGGGGCAGGACCAGTTCTCCCACACTGCCCAGGAGCAGGAGCGGGGCAGGACCAGCTCTCCCACACTGCCCAGGAGCCAGGCAGGGCCAGCTCTCCCACACTGCCCAGGAGCTGGGCAGGACCAGCTCTCCCACACTGCCCGGGAGCCAGGTAGGACCAGCTCTCCCACATTGCCCAGGAGCTGGGCAGGACCAGCTCTCCCACACTGCCCAGGAGCCAGGTAGGACCAGCTCTCCCACACTGCCCGGGAGCCGGGCAGGACCAGCTCTCCCACACTGTCCGGGAGAGGGGCAGGGCCAGCTCTCCCACACTGCCAGGGAGCGGGGCAGGGCCAGCTCTCCCACACTGCCCAGGAGCCAGGTAGGACCAGCTCTCCCACATTGCCCAGGAGCTGGGCAGGACCAGCTCTCCCACACTGCCAGGGAGCGGGGCAGGACCAGCTCTCCCACACTGCCCAGGAGCCAGGCAGGGCCAGCTCTCTAGCTTTCATGTCCTCAGAGCTGACTCACCTGTGTCCACGCCACCAGGGCCAGCTCTACTGTGCTGTCCTGGGGGAGGTGTGGAGCCTGCTTTCCCAAGTGCTGTACCTGACAAGGGGTGGAGCTTTCTCTCCTGCTCTCAGGGCCAGCTCTCCCACCTGTAGTAGGTGAGGGGTGGAAGGGGGCAGAGCCGGCCCTGTTCCTCACTGGCTGTGGCACTCCACTCAGGAGAGCTAGCCCCACCCCTCCCCTAGGCAAGGTGGGAGAGCTGGCCCTAAGGGTGTGAGAGCGGAGAAAAACAACTGAAAAGGGCATAGTGGCTGGAGAAATGGCTCAATGATTAAGAACACTGGTTGTTCTTCCAAAGGACCCAGGTTCAAGTCCCAGCACTCACATGGCAGCTCACAACTCCAGTCCCAGATGATCTGACACCCTCTTCTGGCCTCCTTGGCACTGCATGCACATGGTGCACAAACACATATGCCAGAAAAACACCCCCACCCCCACTAAATAAACAAATAAATAAAAATTAAAAAAAATTTTTTTAAAGCCACTTAAGGGAGAGAGGGTTTATTTTGGCTCACAGTTTGCAGGTAAAGGTCATCATGGCAGGAAAGGTCACGACAGCTGGTCACATGGTCTCTGAAGTCTGGAAGAAAAGAGCTCTGAATGCACGTGCTTAGCTAAGCTTTCTCCTTTTTATTTATATTTGCAGTCTAGGACATCCCCCGGGGAATGGTGTGCCCCCGGGGAGTGGTGTCATCTACATTTAGTGTAGGTCATCCCCCCCTTAATAAACCCAGTCAAGAAAGCCCTTGCTAGCCGGTCCAAAGGCTGGTACACTGAGTGATTCTCAAGTCTAACAAGTTGATAATCAGTATTAACCATCACAGACAGTATGTATGCTGGCCAGAGCATTCAAGTATTTTAAACAAGCAGATTTTAAACAAGCGAATACTCAGAGAGCAAAGGGATAAAACAGGGAATACAAATAGACAACTCTATGAATGATTTATTTTCTAGGTTTAAGTGATAGAAACTGAGATGGTAGAAAAACTATCCTGATGTCTCTTTCCAAAATGTACAATCTGCTAATCAATAAAATGTTAAAATATGTCACAACTGAACATACAAGTGATTTGGGTTGCAGTTGCTATAATAGTTAAAAGATAAAAAATTCCATTTCAAATGTCAAGCAGTATCTCTGTTGAGTCCTTAGGATTAGATGGGTTTTTAAAGCTTCCTGCCTTGTAAATTCTGGCATTTGGAATATAACTTGTATAATTCTGCCTTGTAAATAACTGGATGTTGGACTTTACCTTGTGATGCTGACAGGAGCTTCTGACTGATATTGGAAATAAATCTGAAGCAAATAGTAGGAAGACTGAAACAAAGCTTCAGTGGAAGCTTTTCCTCAAGAACTGGTGGAGAAGGGGGCTGAGCAGCACTGACAGAAACAGGTACCTGTCTACTACCTCAGAATCAGAAGCAGGATAATTTTTTTATGAGATTGCTGGAGTGGGCTACGGTCTGGTAATTGTACAGTTATATTTCTTTTTTTTTGAAAAAAAAAAAGATTTCATTTTTATTTTATGTATATGATTGTTTTACCTACATGTATGTAAGTGTGCTTTGTGTATGCCTGGTAACTGTGGAGGCCAGAAGAGGGTACAAGATTCCCTGGAAATGGAGTTATAGACAAATATAAGCTGCCATGTGGGTAATGGGAACCAAACCTAGGTCCTCTGGAAGAGTAGCAAGTTCTCTTAACTTCTGAGTCATCTCCGCAGTTACTATTTTCTAAGAAATATCTTCATCTTGGAAGATAAGGGTCAGCAACCAGTTCATCCTTGTGTTCTTTGAGACACTGAGCCACCACCTTGGTCACAGACTTTTTCTGCCTCTTGTGTCTATCATGGGTACATGTGAAGACTTCTTGAACTATTTTAGGAAAGGTTGTAAAAACACTGGGCACGCATTTGAAATGGAAGTTGTAAGAATGCTTACATTTAAGAGAGAAGCTTACTTGGGAGGGATTCACAATAATCAATCTGAATGAAAGAGAAGTGGAAACTTGGAAATAGGTTTAGTCAAACTGGAGAACTGGGGTCAAATCCAAAGACATCTCAGGAAGTGGGAGATGCAAGGGTAGCAACAATTAATATCATAAAGTAGAGTCTGAATCCTGCCTGATATTTTCCAGGGTGTGAGGAAAGATGAAATATCAGTTATGGTGTAAAAATGTACTCCCTATATTTCTTCACTTTATAACTTGATTCCTAATCACAAATGTAATAATATTTGGGGGTGTGGCTTTTTAGAAAGTGATTAAGTCACGAGGGTGGAGTTTCTATGAAATGGGATTGTTGCCAGTATAAAAGTTATAACATAGCTTTCTGCCATAAGGATATAAAGAGGGTAAATAAGCCTGTATAAGAAACCTGTTATAAGAAAAAGAGCAAACATTAAACCTAGCAGCTTATTTAAACAGAGAAATATTTATTTATGAGGCAGCATCCCAAGTCACTAGTAGTTCAGAGAGCTTTACTCATTAATATGGGCAGACATTAAGAAAAACAAAAAGAAATCCCTTGATTAATCACAGCTCAGCATTTGTCTTTTGGGTGCATGGTATCACGAGTTATTTGAGTCATAGGAAAATGGCCTGGTCAGCCTACGATTGGATGAAATATAACTGCTAAGATTGGCTGCCATTCAGCTATTTGTTATAGGAATATATTCTTAAATTAGGTTGCAGTTTGCTTCACTGGAATGCAAAGCACTGAACTAGTTGTCACGCAGATCTTAGGCTCTCTAGCATCCAGAACTGTGTGAGATAAATTTCTAATTATGTTTCCTAGTATAAGGTAGACTATTGTAGCAAAAGAATGGGCAGACAGCACTTAAGACATACATAAATTCACAAGGTATAGGGTTTTATCACCCTTCTATTATAAATAGATACTGGTTGGTATATTCTCACATATCTCAGCAATTTGCAAAGATATCATTAACTATCACACCACAGGAGCTACTAGTTTAGGGAACGACAGTGTTGGGATTGCTTTGAACTCAATCCAGCTACCAGAATTCACATGTGTCTTGGTTCGTTTGCTCTCAGTTGTTACTGAAGCTATGTGAGTTCATCATGTAAAATTCCAAAGGCACATGTAATTTGGAATAAAAATGTGTATAGGAGAAGAAGATTAGGAAAGATGATTCATTTGTATGTCTCTAAGAAGTGTGGAATTTTGGTTCCCAAAGGCATGGGGGAGGCCATATGGACTAGCTGCCTTTTACTGTTGTGATTAAAAAATACCAAGGCAACTTATAGATGGAAGCATTTATTTTGGCATATGGTTCCAGGAGTATGCGAGTCCATCACGTGGAAAGGCATGGCAGCAAGTAGCAGACATGGCTGCAGGAACAGAAGCAGAGTTATTGCATCTCAACCATGAGCATGAAATGAGGCAGAGCATGGCAGAAGTAGGATGGGCTCTATACTCTCAAATCCTGTCCCCCGTGACATACTTCCTCCAACAAGACCACACCTCCCAAACCTCCCCAAACAATGTCACCAAATGGGGAACCAAGTGTTCAAATTCCTTTGTCAATCGGGGACATTTCTCAATTAAACCACCACAATCCACTCCCTAGCCTCCAGAAGCTCATGACGACATTGTAACACAAAACGTATTTAATATAATTTCAAAACTCCCCCATTGTCTTTCACGGCCTCAATACTGCTTAAAACTCAAAAGTTCAAAGTCTCCTTGGGGACTCAGGGCAAACTCTTAATTGTAACCCTTATAAAATCAAAACACAAATTACTTACATTCAATGTATAATTGCCCCAGAATACACACTACCCTTCCAAATGGGAATACTATAACAAAGTAATATCAGAACTCAACAGGGCAAGCACAAAATCCTGCAGTTCCACATCTGATGTCAAAGGGCTTATAGTTGTCTCTACTCCTCGACTTTGCTGCCTGTAATATACACCTCTCTCCTGGACTAATTCCACCCCCTGTATGCAGTTCTCCTTAACAGGTATCCCATGGCTACAGAATCACCAAAATTTGGGTATCTTTGCTGCAATTCAACCTTCACTTTCACAGCTTCATGCAAAACTTCTCAGAGCCTCTTGCCTTCTCAAAGCCTTCATGCAGGGACTCCCCTCCCACAATTTTCCTGGCCTCCGAAGCTCTCTGAAGCCATGAAAGAAGAATTCACGACCCTTTCAATCTTGATTTTTCCTTCATGCATCTATGACAGCACCATGTTGAGAAACCTGCGAAGTCTGGCTATCAACTCGGGATGGATCCTGCACCAGTGGACCACATTAGCAGCTGCCTTTGTTTGCCATTACCTTCCAAGAGCAGAAAAACCTCTTAGTCCTTTTGCTTTCAGAATCTGGAAGCTCAGCTGGGTGGGGTCTCACCCTGTTCCAGTGCCGATTAGGACTTCCCTTAATGGTGTTTAACTCTTTAACAATTGTAGCCTCTCTTTCAGTGCATGCCTTGGCTGTAACATTCCGAATGCTCCTTTTCTTGCCAAACTGTATATTATGTCTTCTTTCTATCCTACGTGTTCTCTTTCACTGTAGACCCAAAGAAGCATTATCAATAAAATCTATGCCACAGACTCAACATTATGTAGTTCTGAAATTTTCTTCACCAGAAAAATTAACCTGTCACTTTTATATTTAGCCTCAGGCAAGTTCTTAGGATAAAAGCAGAAGGTGGTCAGACTCTCTGCCCAAATGTCACAAGAATGGCTTCTCGCCCAACTGCTAATATTGTTTCCCTCTGAAACCTCTTGAGCTGGGCCTCCTGAGTCCTCACTGCTCTCAGCACTGGTGTATTTCAGGTCTTATTAGGATTACCACTTAAAGGACTCAACTGCTTTTCTCGTCCACATTTCCAGTCTTGCACATTCCCCCTCAAAACAATATGGTCACATGCTTCACAGCAATAGCCTACTCTCTGGTACCAGCGTCTGTATTAATTACTTATCTGTTGCAGTGACAAAAAACCATGACCAAAAGCAGCAACTTATTTAGGAAAGCACTTACTTTGGCCTACAGTTCCAGAGGGATAAAAGTCAGTCACGGCGGTCTCTCCCTCTCACTGGAGAGGCTGAGAATGAGGTTGAGTGCACTAGATTGCTGGGTTTTCCTCCTGAAGCTTTCTTAGCCCCTTAACATGACTCTCATTTTCATTCCTGGGGGTGAGCTTTTTCTGACTGTGTAGCGCATATATTTTCATTTTCTTCTATGAAAAATGGAATAAGGAAAAAGTCAATTCTTTTTTCTTTCTATTTATTTATTTATTTATTTATTTATTTATTTATTTATTTTTTTTGAGACATGGTTTCTTTGTGTAACACTAGCGGTCCTGGAACTCACTCTGTAGATCAGGCTGGCCTCGAACTCACAGAGAATTGCCTGTCTCTGCCTTGAATGCTGGGAACAAAGGCATGAGTCACCATCGCCTGGCAGAATCCAATTCATTTTAATGTATTAATTAAACAAAATCAAGTAAAAATTATTGCTTCAAGGGAACGATGGAAATATTAGGTTAACAAAATAGGCAAATCAAGGCATAATGATTTACAGAGTAAACAGTACTTAGGTTTGCAAATTTATATGAGGACTTTGTATATTTTCTTACTGGAAGACACAGTGTTTGAAAGATTTTTTTTCTCTGCGGCTTAAAGGATCATTATATAAAGTGAGGCATTTATGCATTTTTGTAACTGCTTCACACCACATAGATAAAACTCCTATGACTAGTTAAGCCAGTCAGACAACATTTGAAAGCCGGTCTTCCCAGCCCCTGACTTTCATCTTGGAGGAACATGCTGTTAACTAGGGAAGGGTGTCTTATCTTTCAGTAAAAGGAGGAGCTATTACACTATATTTCAGGAGAATTAAAATGAAATCTCTCAAGCAGAAACATGGTGACTATACTCTAATTCACGATCCAACAGAGTGCATTCACCTGGTGAAAGACACCTCAACTCTCAACCTCAGAACACAAACTTCCCTGTTAGTTGTGTGGGACCTGTCATTTACAGTCTCTGAGTTTAGTCTTTCCAGTCTTTAAGAGTGTGAAAATCAAGTGGTATAATATTTTATGAGGAAACTTTCATGAATGTGAAATATTTGTCACAAACTGCCTGTCAAGTGTATTGAGGACGTTGGTCCTGCTAGTGCAGGCCTATAATCCTAGCTACTCGGGAGGTTGAGACAGAAGAAGGATCAGGAGTTCAAGGCTAGCCCTGGACTACAGAGCTTATTTAAGGCTCAGCTGGGCAACTTAAAAATACAGCAGAGGATACAGTGCAGTGGTTGGGTGCTCATGCAGGAGGCCTTAGGTTCAGTCCCCAGAGCCTATGCCCCCACACATATGGGAGAGGGAAATGTTCCTATTAATCAGAAATTTAAAAGAATCAGGATTTTTACATGCAAGTTAAAATTAAAATGACCTTCGTAGAGCCTGGATAAAGATTTGTACAAAGTAAATACTCTTTTCAAGTTGCAAGGATCGCTTGCCTTACACATTGTTGAGCAGGTGTAAAATGAAGCCAATGACGGAGGCATCAGCAACACGGCACCCTGTCTTCTGGCTGTGCAGTGGGAAGCCTGATTTTTTTTTTTTCCAGGAGCAGTAGTTCCCCAGAATACAAGATTTAAAATACCTGTTTTCCTCATCTAGGAGCAACAAAATGAACCAGCCAAGAAGAATGCGTCAGATGACTACACACACAGTTGCCAGTGCCCTTCCCTCCGCCCCCCTTTTCACATGGCCCTGGAAGGGAAAAAATGGAAAAGGAACGCTAGCTTTTGTTCCTTCTATAAACTGCAATACAACAGCTGCCACGTACGTACTGTGTTGGGGCTAGTCACGGAGCCCCGGTTTGAACTCTTCACAACCCGGAGCATACTAAAATGTGCCTGAAAATATTCAGCATTACCGAGTTAACTTCTCCTACGTGACTGGATCGTTTCACTTGGTGTTTTACTCCCCATATTAAAACCATAGTATTCGCAGGAAAAAATCTTTGAGTTACAAGAATACTGAGATGGTTGCTTTTGTGGACAGACTTAAGAAGGATTTATCCATTTATTTTGTGCATATGCAAATGCACGTGCGCACGCACATGCCACAACACACGTGAGGTTAGAGGATGACTTGTGGGAGCTGGTTCTCCCCTGGCACCATGTGGGGCCTGGGTGTCAAACTGAGGTCACCAAGCCTGGAGGCAAGTGCCCTTACCATCTCACCAGGCCGATTGGTAGATTTTAATTAAACCGGATTATTCATCCTTCACTGCCTTAGTGTCCTTTCTAAGGAAGTTAAAGGGTCGTTTAATTTTCTCATGGGTTTTGCATTATCTCAAAATTAAATCAGTCTCTCAGGATGTGGGCAGCCTTTAATCCAATACAAAGTGTTCCTGGGCTTCCAGGTGGTTTTTTTTTTTTTTTTTTTTTTTCCCACCCTGCCATGTGCATAGAAGGTCCTGACGAAATCGAATTTGTTCAGGTCCAATGGGTGCCAGTCAAAAGATAAGGCTTGAGCCAGGCACGATTGCACACACACACACACACACACACACACACACACACACACACACTTGGATAAGCTGCAGCAGAAGGGGATGGAGAGGTGGAGGTCAGCCTAAGACACACATCCATGAGTTTCAGTGAGGGCGATATAGAGAAATGCTTTCTCCAACAAGACAAAACAAAAACAGCAACCAAACAAAACTCCAAAAAAAGTTAATCCAACCCCGAAACTGAAGTAAATTTAGTGCCTAACATCGGCGTGTTCACTGTGTCCCAGAAGCCTTGCCTAGCTTTTCTCATACAAAAACCAAGACAGGCAGGACACTACAAGGTGAGGCAGGTTACGCAAGTTGGCTAAGGACAGGACAGACACTTCTGTTTGTACCTGCTGTGTAATCTCTGGAATTGTTGGGACTCCGGTGCCAGGAAAATCCTGGAACATCAACTAGGATGATGGGGAACAAGGGCCCAGTTCTAATTTTGTCCCTCTGTCGGTTAAGCAGGACACATCTCCTGAGGGTCAGTCAGCACACAGTTGGTTTTCTGAGGAAATTAAGGCCAAAGCCAGACTCTGTGTGTGTGTGTGTGTGTGTGTGTGTGTGTGTGTGTGTGTGTGTGTGTGGTGGTGGTGGATGAGAAATGTTAGAAATATGAGCAGTCTAGACCTGGGAGAAGATCTTTTATCAGTGACCCTTGGTGCCTGTACACATTCCAGAGGCTGACTTGGAAAAGTAACCAAGAAGTTCAGCAAGAGGACCCCCTCCAGCCCACTTTTAACCCCGGTCAATGGCAAGCCTCGCGCTGGGGGGCAGGCACACACTAGCGCCTCCTCCAGGCTTAAGGTGGCTGCGGGTGCGCCCGCAGATAACCCCAGCACATCCGGCCCGGGGACCTTCGGCGGGACTCGCTTCCACTCGGAGCCGTGGGCCCCTCCCTGTCTCGCTGCTTGACAAGCCAGCCGCCTGCAAGGGGCGGCACCGCCCTGAGGTCCCCTAGGACGTCACGGACGCGCGGTCGAGCCTCCAGCCCGCCCCCCACGGCTCGCCTTTCCCTTCTCTCCTTAGCCGGTGACGCCGCCGCGGCCCCGGGCAACCAGCGCTTGCACACACTCCCGCGCGCTCGCCCCGCTCCTCCAGCTCCTCCCGCACCCGGGTCCGAAGATGGCGGCTCTCAAACTCCTGTCCTCCGGGCTTCGCCTCTGCACCCCGGCCCGCAGCTCGCGGGGCGCCTGGCACAAGGTAAATCGAAGGGGGAAGAGGAAGGCCACGCGCGGGAAGGAAAAAAAAAAAAAAAAGCGCGGACGAGCCGCGAGCGGCGCGCGCGTCCTCTGCCCTGCCCGTCCCCACCATCTCCAGCCGGGGACCTGGCATCTGCAGCGCGCCGTGCCCGGGGCTCGGAGACGGTCGGGTTTCAGGCTCGCCCGCGCCACGGGCCGTCTGTCTGTCTTGTCTGTCTTTGCTTCTCCATCCGCCTCCTTGATGGGGCGAGATGAAGACAAGCTGTGCGTGCAGCGCTGAGAAGCGGTCGGGGCTCTGGGCAGCGCTGCAGCGACTTTGGGGGGGGGGAGGGTGCCCGCGCCCCGGGGGCTCGCGTCCCCCACCCGCCTGCCCGCCTACGCCCTTGGGAAAGGGTCCCCGGGGCCGCCGCCCTAGAGAGGGGCGGGTTGGAGGAGCAGAGCCGGGAAGGGCGGCGCATCGAGGCTTGCAGCCCCACCTGAGGGAGCCTCTGGCGTTTGGCGTCGGCGCCAGCTGAGGCCCAGAACCCCCGGCCGGGTTAACCGCTGCTGGCTCAAGTTCACCGCCAAGTGGGCGGATGCTGTGTGCGGCGGGGGGCGGACTGCCGCTCCATCCTCCCCTTCCCTATATGGCGGTGGAAAGGGGAACCCGGACTGGAGCGCTCGTCACGGGGCGTCTAGCCTGCCAAGCGGTTGGGAGCGGATGGAGGGCTGGCGGTGCTCCGCTGCAGTTGCAATGCCTCCCCGCTGCAGTCTGCAAACGCCGCCGCCATCCCTCACTTGTAGTCTCCTCCCGCCCCCACCCCCACACCCCCAGATCCGGATTAGAGACATGCAATTTCCAAAGACCTTTAAAAATATACCTTGACCCACTACACTCCCACAGCTCCACTAAATTGGTATCCAGAGACACCCTCCTAGCGGATCAGCGGGTCGTGGGTGTTTTTGCTTGTACACTAGCTTGCCTGTAAGCACACATTTGGGTTGGATTTCACTGTGGGGCCAAGGAACTGAGTGCTGGACAAAAGTTCAGCTCCAGGAGGGTGACTTCACCGTGGTGGGTTCAGTTTGCTCAGGAACCTCTTCTTTGAACAGGAAAACGAAGTGTTTTCTTTGGTGATGTTTCAGATTGTAGTTCCGAGTTTAAGAATGCATTGCACAGGGCATGTGCTCACCATGTGTACTCTGAACTGCTTTCTTTCTCTGCTGCTCATTCCCTTGCTAGAGAAGTCATCAAGCTACTCCCGCATGTCCTAGGGAATGCCTCAGACCTGAATTATTGCATTGTTAAATTCCTCATAGGAGGCATTTTGTTAATTAGATACAGATTTGGGTACACAAAACATGATTAAAAGAGAACTTGACCATCAGTCAGCCTGCTGCAAGTGATGGAGCAGGTGCCAAAACCAGGACACAGGGATGTCCTTGGGCCAAGGTCGAAACATTCTTGTGGTAGTGCATGTTTGTCTGAGTATAATTTATTCACCCCTAGTCTACCCCACTTTCAATATAATCATTAAACCATTTCCCAAGCCAGCAAACCTCCAGGTGGATGAGCTATAATTATGGGTTTTCTGTCTCTTATTAAAAGTTCGTGGCAGAGTTCAAAGTTAGGCTTCTCGGGTATGGAAAAGAAGGCCTAACTCTTGCTGTCCGGAGTATTCTCCCGGCTCACGCATTGATTGGTCTTCCTGCTTGCTTAGCACCGAAGTCATCCCACCTCTCTCGAGTTGTAACACTTGTGTACTTGTTGAACGTTGGGACCCTGATATAGGTCAGTTCTTTGTCCCCCTCAACATCGCACACCGCTTCGAAAAGAATGCTCATTGACTGTGTGCACGAAAGAACTCTGCTAGCAGCTTAAGTGACCTTGAACATTTTCCAGCTAAATATAGCAACAGGTAAACTGAGATAGTTGTTAAAGATGCTTTTATCTTTTTGTTTTGGGAGACAGGCTCTTGCTCTGAGGGCCAAGAAGGCCTGGCAGCCATGATCCTTTTGCTTCAGCTTGCAGAGGTCTGAAAGTACAGGTGTGGGCTTATTTACCATGCCTGGCTTAAAAAACAAAAACAAAAACAAAAACAAAACAAAAAATGTTTTCTGTGTTTATTTCTTTTTTTCCCCCCCATGGTGAGCAAGTTCATTGTCTGAAACTTTAGCATGACTCAGGTTTACCTGGAGGCTTTTAAATCTGATTGCTGTGCCAACTCCAAGGTTTCTAATTTGGTGGGCCTTAAGTGGACTCATTCACAATGAACTTGGATCGATTCCTCTTGGCAGAGGTGCCACACTTCCTGGCAAGCTTGTATGCGCCTATTCACCCGAGTATTGCTGCCTCTTCCTCCTAACTAGTTTTTTTTTTGTCTCTTTCCATGACTTCTTTTCCCCAATTCTGTTTACTAAACTTCGATACTAAGGTAGGCAAAGTCAGCCTTTCCATGTCATGATTTCTTTAACAGTAGCGAGGTGACAACGTTATCACTTGGGTGTGTAGTTCTCTATCATTAAGGTAATATATATATTCAAAATGTATTTTGGGCCAGTGAGATGGATCATGGATTATAGCCTGAAGGTTTTTCCAGTCTTGCCCGGCCCTGAAGTCCCGCAGCCACTTATAAAATAATCATTCAGAGGCTTAATATTATTTACAAACTGTATGGCCTAGGGCAGGCTTCTTGCTAGCTAGCTCTTTCTTCTTAAATTAACCCATTTCTATTAATGGGTTATGTTTTGCCAAGTGGCCGTGGCATTACCGGTCTGCTGGCATCTTGCTTCTCCTTTGGCTGCAGCTGGCATCTCCCTCACCTCTCCTTTCTTCTCTCTGTGTATCTGCTTGGATTTCCCGCCTGCCTGGAAGCTGCCTTGCCATTGGCCAATGCAACTTTATTTATCGACTAATCAGAGCGACACATACTCACAGCATACAGAAAGACATCATCCCCCAGCAGTGGATAATGGCATTTCCCTAAGTCTGATGACCCAAGTTTGAGCCCTACGCCTTACACGGTAGAAAGAGAGAACTGACATCTGCAAGTTGTCCTCTAACATCCACAGGGGCACTGCGGCACACCCCTTCCCTACCCAGATACAAACGCACGCACACAAAATAAATAAAAAAACATAGTCAAAAATCTCAAATGTATTTTAAACATGTGTTTGGTGTATTTTCATCCCAAAGTACATTTCCCCCAAGTTCTCGAGTGTTGAATGACATCGGAAAGAATTGGAGGCGAAAGAACTAACAGTGGCAGTGAATGGCTGGAAAGGAAGTCGTGAGATGAAATTTAGATTCAACCATGGAGTAAGACTTCAGAGGTCAGGTCGAAGAGCTGAAGGTCAAAGTGGAGATGATGCCTAAGGGAGAAGCATTAAACAAAAAATATTTTCCACTCTTAAGACTTTTGTTTCTTTCATTAAAGTACTAAGTACTACTTAATCACTATGTTCCTCACTCCTTTTTTTTTTTTTTAAGATTTATTATGTATACAGTGTTCTGTCTGCATGTTTGCCTGCAGGCCAGAAGAGGGCACCAGATCTCATTAGAGATGGCTGTGAGCCACCATGTGGTTGCTGGGAATTGAACTCAGGACCTCTGGAAGAGCAGCCGGTGCTCTTAACCTCTGAGCCATCTCTCCCAACTCTCCTCACTCCATTTTAATATCAGAAATGAGTACCGGCAATAAAATGGGGTTCTGCTGAAGGTAGGAGAGTAGACAAAAATATAAGATACTTTGTGACGAAAAGCTATCCCCAGAGTAAGTGCCCCACATTCTTTTAGGAACTCTGTGCAAGTGTGAAAGTTATTTATGTATTTAGATATTTGGCAGCAGCTGGTACATGAACTTTTTTTTCCCCCAGGAATGATCTCATGAAGCCCAGGCTAGCTTCAAACATGCTATGTAGCCAAGGCTGACCTTCAATTTCTGATCCTTCTAGCTTCTAGTACTGGGATTGCTGCTGGCTTGCTGGGGCCCACGAGGGCTTTGTTCACGCTAGGCAAGCCCTCCACCAACAAGTTTGTTTTTTCAAAACATCATTTAATGTATAGAATACATTGGAAGGAGAAGATTAATTGGGAGTGGTTTAAATAGAGTGTCTTTAAACTTGCCCGTCTGAGGAAAGAAGGTAGATGTTAGCAGAGATACACGTTTCCCCAGTTGCCTCGTCTTAGGAATTACTGCCAGTGACATGGGTCTATCTTGACCCGCAGAGACACAGTGTGAGTAGAGGAGCAGGGGAGAAACTGGTTAAGACTGGTTAAAACTGCAAAGGCAAAAGCTTCCTGTGTGGCCCCTACGGTGCTTTCTGGGCTTTGGGTTTTGAAGACCCTCTGTGGTACAGTTAGCCACGGGCATTGGGCTTCCTCATTGCCCCACCGTCTGCATTCATTTCCTGGTTCGCCAGCTACCTCCCATTTTGCAGACTGGCAAACTGGATGGCAAATGGCATGACCATATGGCCGGAGAGTGGTGTGTGTTTGTAGTCCCGGCTGCGTGGCATTGAGGCAGGAGGATTGCTCAAGGCCAGGACTTTGAGACCAGCCAGTCCCACACAGTGAGATATTGTCAAGAAGAAAGAATGACAGGACTGGACACATGAAGGAGGGAAAAAGTAATCATAAAGCTAAGACCTAGGCTTTGGAAATCGTGAAGAAATACCATATGGATGAATTTGCAGTGGTGATGGTCATGTTACAAATTTTCTGTATGAAATCATTGATGGAGGGAGGGCAGGCAGGGAGTGGTGAGGTTAAAAATTGGACTCCAATAAATGACAGCTTGCTTTGACTGTCTTAGCTGGGAATGGGAACAAGGTGGCATTTCCTAAAGGAAGATGACATCCACTAGGAATTTCCTTGTAGTCTGGCATAGAGCTTCTTTTCTAGCTGTATCTTTGGGCGACGGTCCACAATGGTCATCTTTAGGCACTGTGCAGGCTCCTCACCGGGCTTTGACCAAAACAGCACTTCTCTACAAAGACATAGTCAGTGGTTAAGTACTGGCACATCCATTCAGTCCTGGCTGAGCTGAGATTTGACACCAGGGTACTTTTGAGCCGTGTGTGTATGGCCTCATGAGTGTGTATGCACCACTCGCATGCATGTGTGCCTGCTGAGGCTGGACGTCATTGTATCCCTGGGGAACTACAGTTGCAGGCCTTGGATCCTCAGAACTGCAGCTGCAGACAGTTGTGAGCGCTGCTTGATGGTCCGATGCGGGTGCAGGGAACTGAGTCTACTACTCTGCAAGTCCTCTCTCCAGCCAACCTTGCTGGTTTTGAGTTTTGGTTGTGTGGGTACATTTCTAACAACCTCCCACGTCGGTTCGAACCCAGGGCCCTTTGCCTACTAGGCAGTCATTCTGCTACTGAACTACATCTCCAGCACAGTCTTTTACCTAATTCTGATGTTTGACTCCATGTCATCTTCCTTGTTTGCTTGCCAACTCTCTTCTTTCCTTCCATCCTTCCTTCCTTCCCTCCTTCCCTCCTTTTTTTCTTTCTTTTTCTAGAAGGGGGGAAGTTCAGAGTGGGACAAGCTGCAGGGTAATTAGTGCTGACTGATAATTAGTGCTATGACAACACTAATTATCAGCTACTCCAAAGGGGTGGGATTCTTGCTAAGTGTGTGGCTTTGGGCTGTTTCTGAATCTTCGAAGGCTCCCTGGGTCCACGGGGAACTGATTCTGCTTCCAGCATACTCTCTGTGGAATTCCACAGAGAGGCAGTTCAAGGTGACCTCACCT